TTGTGACACGGAGGTGATTCTCTGTGCTGATTCAGAGCAAGCCTGGGGCTTGCCTCTGCCAGATCTGAGGCTTCCAGATCCACTACATGCAGAGCCAGCTCCTTGCTCTTTGTGCCCAGGCCTGTTACCTGAAGATTAAACCCACACTGGGGCCCCTTTCCTGGCTGGGATACTGTTACTCAGTGCTGGCTCTCAAGCCCAGCTGGTAAACAGGCATCAGGGACCACCATCTGCACAGGCCCTGGAGGGACACAGAGGAGGGCCTCTGTGCAGCTCTCCTTCCTCTCGCTGTTGGCGCCCCTGACTGCGCACCGCTTTGATGTTCTTTCTACATGTGGCTCTGTGTTCCACTCATCAAAGGCCAGTTCCTGGGGCAGGACTTGCACAGAAGCTTAGTGAGAGGCTCTCTGAAATCTGGTCCTGCTGGACTCTGTAGCAAAACTCCCTGTGGTATTGGTAAGGAGTTGGAGAGACCATGGTGATCATAGCTTCTCTTCCCCATGTTGGGGTTGGGGCTTGAGACTGATTTTTGTGTAGTTAAAGCCCAAGACATCTTGATCACGCTCCCAGATCTGCTGATGACTCTGTGCTCCTTGGCAGGTTTCCTCCCTACTAGAAGCCCCTTTTTCCTCTCCCTCTGGTGAGGACAACGGAGAGGTCATGAGGCCATGTTCATTAGTGTTGGTGTGGCACTTTGGGGTCCTTGGTGGAAGAAATCCCGGAGGGTTACTTGAACCAGGAGGGCTGAGGCTGTGCCCTGGAGCTTGCCTGCACACTGCTGACATCATGTTTACGCTCTTACGTTCTTTCACTGTGCACAAGGGTAGCAGAGAGCATTGCAGGTTAAGACCCCTGATCTCTGGTAATTGCAGCTGGATCACAGGCATTCTGTGTCCAGTGGTTTCCACTGATCTCCACAAGGTGCAGGAGTTTAAAAGGGTCCTAGTCTATTCTGTTTAAACAGGGGCCCAGCCTTGGAGTTGGTAGTGAAGACTTTTATATATAGCATGTATGTGTGCACCTATGTGTTTCAGAACCAGTTAGAACTGTTTGCAAAGCTTCACCAAAGAATTTAAATGCAGCTACTAAATAAACCTTTTCAGGGACTCAGTCATAATAATGGCATTAGTAAGTAGGTATGCTGATCCTGCTGTCTCACAGGCTGACCAGTACTGTGATTGCCTCCTTTGTCTGTCTGTATACATTGGTTATCATAGTGAGATTGCAAGTTTGGGCCAGGAATCATTGTTTTCATTTCACGTGTGTGTATACAGCACCTGGAACATGGGGATCCTGGTCCATGACTGGAGCTTGTGGGTGATGCAGCAAAACTAATAATGAATTAATAATAACAATGAGACGTTTACTTGGAAGCAGCTGGATTCATTTCATCACACAAGAGAACCGGAAGGGAAAGTGACCACTTTAGACTCATAGCTGGAAACAAAAGTGATGAGATACTAAAGTTTCTTCCAGTGTTAATAATCCTGGGCATTTCTCAGTAACCCTGGGGAGGAACCAACACAAAATACATTTATTTATTTATTTTTACAGTGTTTCCTTAACTAGCATATTGGATCCCTGTCGCATCCCAAAACACTCTCCACAATGGGCACCTTCAGGGAATTGTTCCCCTTCTTGCTGAAATGCTGCCTCCTCTGGGGTGGGATGCAGCAGCCATGATCAACCCACCTTATATTTTGCAGGAGGGGGAGCAAAACAGTGTGTGCATAAAGCAATGCATTATCTGAACCTCAAAGGGCAGGGGCTGGGGCATCAGTGAGGATACTGAGAGCCAGCTGAGCACCTTGGGGCAAAAGCAAAACCTGGCTCTTGAATAATATGCAAGGAGATATTTACTGTCCTTAGAGGATCGTACTGGTTAGGAATTTTGCCAAATCCAATGTTATCTGTATACACAGGAAACTGTATGGAGCTTGGTATCTTTATCCTTTAGTAAACCAGGAACACAGAATGGCTGCGCCAGCTCAGAACAAAGATCCTGTTTCCTGTCTGTGATTAGAGGGAGGTATAAAAGACCCTGGGGTAGACAGTTTCTTCCTATCCCTCTGGGTTGTGCCCTGAGGCAGGAGGGTTTATATTTGTAGTTCTGGAAGTTTTTCTTATTTGCATACAGGTTTCACTTGTCTAAGCTGTCGGTCTCTATGATGTCCAGTGGCCGAGAGTTCTGGAGGATGACTTTGCAAAACCATATAAGTAAAACCCACATAAAAGCAGGGGAATCTTGGGTCATTTGTGCCTAGGGTACATCCACACCACTTCCCTTGGTGTGGCTGAGGAGGGATGCACTCAAGCATGCCAACCCTCCTCCCCCTGCTCCCTCCAACTCCTACTCATGCATCCCACACACCCAGAGATCAGGTGGTGAACTTGCTCCAGGGACATCCCTTGGGGTCACTTTTGAGACCACTGTCTTTGGCATGCTTCGGAGCAGCGCACTGTAGCTCAACTTCACCACCAGTTTTCCAGGTTTGTTGCAAGTGCATGGGAATCAGTAGGCCAAATGTGCTCAAAAGTGTCCTTCTCCTGGAGAAATTTCCCCAGTGTTGCAGTATTCACTATGGTGTCCCAGCCAAATGCCAGAGCAGGGAATTCTGTTTCTGCCTCCAGCCATCCCTTCCCACCTCTGAATTGCAGTTGGGGAGAGCAATCTTCACTTCTCCCAAACAACTGGTAGGATAGCTGTTGTCAAATACTGGCTTTATCTTGCCCCAGAGGTAGTTGCATTTGAGTGGTTGGAAAGTGGTGTGTGGCTGGACACAGGATGGAGTTTGGGATCCTTTGGGATGAAAGGTAGCACCTAAGAGTCGCATCTGTTATTAATTAGCACTGCAGACAGACTACGGGGCGTTGAAGATCATGGCTTTAGACCTGACCCTGTAGCACTTTACCCTGGTAAGCTGCAGGAACGGCAAGCCACAAAAGAGGCTCTGCCCATCACATGTGGATTCTCTTCTGATTGTGGCATAATACACTGAAGGTACCTACCAGCCAGAGTGAGAGGTGCCAGTCACTGATGCAGGGCTGAGAGTAGGATCACACATACTAGGTCACTGCTGGGGCAGGGGAGCAAGGGAGCTTGTACACCAAAGGCCATTATTTCAGTCCTGGCAGGAGGGACTTGCATGCTATAGGCTGCTATTGAAGTGCCAAGGGTGCGGAAATGGGGGTCACTACTTGGGTCACTACCTCAGGGGGAAGGAGAGCACAGGGGCAGGGAACTCGTGTAGCAAAGGTCCCTATTCCTGAATTGGGGGAGAGGGCAAGGGGCATTTTTGTGCTAGTGATCACCATTGCCATGCTGGAGGGGGTGTTTGGAAATCTCCTGTGCTAGAAGCCCCTGTTACAGAGCCAGAGGGGCTGGGAACACACATGCCATGGGTCATTCTTGAAGTCCGGGCAAGGGGAATTTGCATGCAAGAGGCCATGATTGCAGTGTTCAGAGGGACATTGGACATGAGTGGTCGCTTGTATTACACAAGGCAGGGGGCAGCTCACGCCATGTGTCTATGAATCCCTGGGGATCTACTAAGGTACCTCAGCAGCTTTTGCTTCTTCAGGCATCTTCAGATGTTCTGTGCACTGGTAACTAAAAGCCTTGAGAGCCAGGGGCTTGTTTAACGTCCCTGGTGGGGAGAGGGTTGGTTACAGCAGTCCTTCTGTTGCCAGCCTGGTTCAGTCAGGTACTATAGTGAGAACAGGACAAGAGGGTTTTACAGCCCACTACAGCTCTGCAGCAGAAGGGCAGGGACCCTGTACTGGGCCCACTAGCTTAACATATGGAATATCATACATTCCAGCAACTCTTCTGCGAGTGCAGATGCTGCTGAGATGAGCACCACTGCTGGGCAGAGGTGGGAAGCAGCTGGAGACAGCCAGTTAGCCTAGGGCAGTAATAGGCAGAAAAAATGAGTTAAGGCAGAGCATTGCAGGTGGTATCATCATCCCATAGGCCACATGGAGGTCCTAGCCTTGGTTTCAAGCAGCAGAAGGGGTAGGATCCAGACAGCCCAGCCCTTCAGCACTGGTTCATTGATGGAGCAAGTAAGGGGGAAGCAAGGCTTCATCTGCACTTTAAATACTTGCTGGCACAGCTGTGTTCACTAGGGGCAGAGAAAAAAATGCACAATGCACAACCCCGTCTCCTCCCCCCTCCCCCGCTTGGCACCGCTGTGTCAGCCAAAGCCTAGTGTTGATGCAGCTGCAGTAGTGGAAAGTCCTTGTGCTGGTCTGGCTGACCCTGCTTGAGGAGCTGCTTTAAGCTGTATGCTAAAAGGGTTCTCTAGTGAGAGTCGCTGGGAGGGCTCTAGTGGTGCTACTGTGCTGGCAGACTCTAGACATAGTCTCAGGCTTGGCTAGCAAAGACAAGGACAGCAGGCCCTGTCCTTATTTGATGGGGAAGAAGGGCCATGTGGAAGAAAACCTGACCTTCCTCCAGTGGGACAGCAGCGAGTGGGGATCTCCTCCCATAGTGACAGCTGGGGGTTCTTCAGGAGGTGGGTGGGAATGGGCATAGGTCCCACAAAGCACACAGAGGAGCATCATTTCTGGATGAAGCTGAAGCCTCCTGCCTCTCTCACTTGCTGACCAAGGGGCTTAGCCCAAGAAGCTCCCCTGTGAGATCTGCTGCCTGCCTGGGAAGTCAGTGTAACATAGAGTAAGTTGTCCTGGAAATGCAGTGTCCAGGAAGAGTGGTCATCCCAAAGGAAAGTCTGACTGGGGCTGGCAGGAACTTCCTGGTGTGGTAGGGCTGTTGCACAGGTAGACCCCAGACCCCTCCATGCAAGGCAGCAGCAAGACTGATCCCCTTTCACTGTGAGCCACTTTGTCAGCTCTGTTTACATAACAGAGAAAGCTGTTTGCATACCACAAGCCTCATCAGGATGCCCCGGTTAGCAGTCTCTGATTTGGTCTCTGGCCAGTAGATTGCAGGTGCTAGTCAAGGCTCTCTGTGGTGTACTGGCTTTTCCCTTCTTGCTGCAGGCTATTCACTTTTCCTCTTGTTCTTTCTCCCCCTCTCCCTGGTTTCTCTGGGCACATGGAGCAGCAGCGGCCAGTGAAGCAGTCCCTCAGCAAGTCCCTCTGCAGAGAATCCCACTGGAAATGCCTGCTTCTGTCCCTTCTCATGTATGGCTGCATGGGAGCCATGACCTGGTGCCATGTGACCAAGGTCACCCGGCTGACTTTTGACAGTGCCTACAAGGGCAAGTCCTTGATGTACCATGACAGCCCCTGCTCCAACGGCTATGTCTACATCCCCCTGGCCTTCCTGGTGATGCTGTACGTGGTCTACCTGGTGGAATGCTGGCACTGCTACACCCGCAATGAGCTCCAGTACAAGGTGGATGTGGAAAGTGTACACGAGCGTGTCCAGAGGATGCAGCAGGCCACCCCGTGCATCTGGTGGAAAGCCATCAGCTACCACTATGTTCGCAGGACCAGGCAGGTCACTCGCTACCGCAATGGGGATGCCTACACCACCACCCAAGTGTACCATGAGAGAGTCAACACGCATGTGGCAGAGGCTGAGTTTGACTACTCCAACTGTGGGGTAAAGGACATTTCTAAGGACCTAATTGACCTGGAGAGCTACCCAGCTACACGGCTCCGCTTCACCAAGTGTTTTAGCTTTGCCAATGTGGAGTCTGAGAACTCCTACCTGACGCAACGAGCTCGCTTCTTCACTGAGAATGAGGGGCTGGATGACTACATGGAGGCCAGGGAGGGGATGCACCTCAAGAATGTGGACTTCAAGGAGTATATGGTGGCCTTTTCGGACCCAGATAACCTGCCTTGGTACGTGTCCCACTATGTCTTCTGGGTGGCTGCCCTCCTGACCCTGTCCTGGCCCTTGCGGGTGCTGAATGAGTACCGCACCTCCTATGTCCATTACCATGTGGAAAAGCTGTTTGGGTTTGACTTTGTGGCAGTGACGCCAGCTGAGGAGCGCTCCTTCTGCCGCAGGATGCCCCGTGTCAATACGGTGGACAGCACTGAACTGGAGTGGCACATCCGGTCAAACCAGCAGCTGGTGCCTAGCTACTCAGAAGCTGTACTGATGGACTTGGTGGGGCTCTCTAGCTGCACCAGCTACTCAGCCTGCAGATATGGGGGCTACCGGCAGAACTGCGATCGGTGCCACAGGACTATAAGCAGCTCTTCCATCTTCTCCCGTAGCGCACTGAGCATCTGCAATGGTAGCCCCAGGATCCCCTTCAGCAGCAGCCGCTTCTCGCTGGGCCGTCTCTACGGCTCACGGCGCAGCTGCCTCTGGCAGAGCCGCAGCGGGAGTCTGAATGAGCAGAGCTGCCCGACGGAGCAGACCCGCCTCTCCAGCCAGGTCACTGTGGAGGAGGAGGACCCTCCCCCTTACCAGGATGCCCTCTATTTCCCCGTCCTCATCGTGCATCGCAACGAGGGCTGCCTCAACCATGACCACCGCCACCTCCATCGGAACGGGTCCTGTGTGGAGACCTCGCTGTGAGCAGGGAGGGCGGCCAGGTCTCCTTGCTGAGCACCACTGGGGGCCCACGTGTGGGCAGACGCAGGACGTAGGAAGGGAGGGGGCAAGCCAAGGAAACAAGGCTCTTGCTCCGTGCTTGGCATGTGGGGCAGAAAGGTCGCTGCCTCTTGTTCCTGGAGCGAAGGTGCTCCACATAGCCCCCATGCCCTCTGGCAGCGATGATGTCGTGGAAGACGGGGTGACAGTAAGCTGGCCGAGCAAGAGCACCCCCTGTGGCATGGCATAAAACTACAGACCAGCTATCACATGCAAAAAAAAAAACAAAAAAAAAAACCAACAACAGAAGAGGGGGAACGGAAAGACGGGACAGAAATGGGGAGCAGCATGTCCTGGTTCCCAATGCAGCTGCTGGAGACCCAGGTTGGCTTGAGTAGGGCTCAGAGAGAATGACACCACACACTACCCTGCTGCATCTCTGACCTCCGTCCCTGCCTCTTGCAGAGGCCAAGGGGACTGGGACTAGTGGAACTTTTCCTCTGGGACTGGTGTTTAGCTCCTAGTGTGCCAAAGATCCTGGGACAGCCAAGCCCATGGAGCTGATGGGCAGCTTAGGGGAGATGCTCAAAATCCCCAAGTCCAGATCTTTCCTTCCCTCCCCCCAGCATTTCTTTTTTTTATTTATTCTTTTTTTTAGACCATGCTCCGACTGTTACACTGTTCTCAGCTGCTGGGAGCAGCACCACCTCCAGAGGATCCCAAGGCTAGAAAGCCTCAGCCCTGAAGCTCAGAGAATCAGCATCCCCTAGCTAGAGCTGAAAGCCTTCCAGGACTTTCCATTCGGGCTTTCAGCAAGCAGAAAACAACAGGGGACATAGAAAGGAACATCCAGACATGGCCAAATGCAGTCACGGCATGAAGCCAGTAGGGCTGGCTGGAGAAAAGTCCCTCTGCAAGGCAAACTAAGGAGACCGTTTGTGTGCTGGGCTCCTGGAACCAGGATACCAGGAAGTACCAGGGGGTGAGTTGGGAAGCTGGGGTCCTCTCAGCCTTAAAGTGAATGAGGTCCAGTCCTAATTAATTCAGCCAAGCCAGGAGTTGGTGGTGGGGGAGGAAGCTAATAGGTTCAGTTGCAGATCATCTGTTAATAATAGATGAGCAGGTTGGTGCCTCTTGTTTTGACGTGAAGTGAAGTAAGCTGTGGTAGGATGGGGGCTGGGTTTGGACGGGAGCTCCGAGGGCAGAAGGGACAGGGGGTAGATGGTTGTGTGGAGATGCCCCAGAATTTCTGAAGACCTTGGGGTCCATGTAGGTGAAGGGAAAGGGCTGCTACCAACATGTAACAATGCAAAGAGATTCCAGCCTCCTTGCTCCTCTTGAGTCCCACACCCCTTGCTGAAAGGTTCATATTGGCGCATCAGTGTTTCTACTTTGGGTTCCTTGAAGTTACCTTCAGACGGCCTCTAAAGGCCTAGAAGTGCCAAGTTCAAATGTAGGCATACTGAGAGAAACTCTTGAAGCAGTCATGAAAAGGACATTTTCCTTCCTGTTTCCTCTTCATGTGAGTAGAGCTGCTGTTTCCTTTCTTCAGCTGCACTGCCTGGAGTGGGCCACTTCACATGCTGTGGCATGTGCCTCCCATGTGGTCCTAGCAGCTCGCACAGCTTGTACACTCACATAATGCTGGATCATAGAGTCCCAGTGGATTTATGAGGCAGAAAGCTCTCATGATAACCTGAAATTTTGAAAAGCCCTGAAATGCTTAACAAACCTAGGCATAACAAGAAAAAAAACAACAACCTCATTATGCTGAAATAGCTAAATTAGGGAGGAAATTACCTGACAGAGACCCTAAAATATCCCAGATCAGTGAGGTAACATACCTGGAAATGGAAACAGAGTCCAATATGAGGAGTGGTGGCATAAGTTTGCCCTTAAGGTCCCAATCTTGCAGTTGGATCTGGGTGGGCAGAGCCCTGCTGATTTACCAGGCTCTGCCTGTACAGTCCAAGAGCAGGGTTTGGGTCCTAAATGGGTCACTCTCTTTAAATTGCTCCCCCTCAGCTAGCGCCCATGGGCATAACCTCCTGCTAGGCTGGCTTTGTGGACAAGGCCGTTCAGAGGCCCGCTCTGCCAACTCTTGGTGCTGAACCCAATCCTGATGGACACGAGTGACCATGTGAAATCAGTGCTGCTCCCCTCATGAGCAGTGGTGCAGGATTGGGCTCTCAGTGCAGAATAGGGATGGCCAGGTGGGACATCTTTCTTTCAAGCTGAGCTGAATCAAAACAAATGGTTCACGTGGGGAGATGCTGAAGAAAGCTCTGACCCAATGTGTGGCTGCCCTTGTTGCCTTCATCTCTTGTTCACACATTCCCTTGTCAAGTGCATCAGAAGATGGGGTTTGGATACCTGCAAGTGACCATTGCTCCCTCCTTCACCTGCATGTCACATCCCTCACCACTTCCTGTCCCATACCCCCTTTCTTATATAGAGGTGAAGCCCTTTCTCATACAGAGGTAGCCTATGAAGCTCCTTGAATGATGAAGGCTGTGCAAGGTGAGCCTTGTGAATACTCAGGAGGGTGAAAGGAGATGTAGTCAAGGCTGAAGGGTATGTTCTGTAGAGACCTTTCAAAATAAAGTTCCACCGGCTCTGTCCTGGCTTTGTTGTGGGTATCTCTACCCTGTGGAGAGGATGGATTAGCCCACATGGAGCTCTGTGCTGCCAGGCCTGGACTGATTCCAGTACCGCAGGGAGCTTGCTTAAAGCCAGCTTGGGTACCTCTGTGCAAATCTACCCGGCATTTCCTTCTCAGTCAGAAGCTTCCCAGGCCTCTTTAGGCCACTGTAGTCCCTCTCTTGTTTTCTACATGCTCTTTTCCCAGTCAATCAACTGTTTTCTTCCTTGTTGGAGGCCCTAATCCTCCCTAGCCCTTGTTGCCCACCAGCTTGTCTCCATTCCCCTCACCCATCCCAACACAGGATGTGACCTGTAGTAAATACCATCTCCAGCTGGCAGCAGGCTGAAAACCCAAGTAGCAGCACAGACCTCTAACACTTGTGCTAAAGGATTAACATCATTTGCTGGCCACAGCAGCAGGTGTATATCCCTGCTGGTGTGGGTCAGGTGTGAAGATGAAGGGGGACAGGTAGAACAGTAGAGTACACCACAGTTAGTCCAACCAGACTTTCCTTTGCTAACTTATTAGTCAGAGGGTCTGTATCTACAGGGAATGCTGTTAGGTTGCTTCACCTAGTAGATCAGAGAGAGGTAGTTACCCATGTTAGTCTAAAATTAGGCAAGAGGCAGGGTGGAGTGGCACTTTAGAGGGTAACTCAGTTAGAAACCCTCTTCTGCATTCTGCTAGATCAGAGGCAGCTTTGTCCTGCCTCCCCAGCCCTTCTGGATAATATTTGTTTTAGGGAACTGTTCTCTAAGAAAAGTCAGTACATCATCCATTTCTTCACTAAACAAGGAGACCTCTTGCTTATAAAGCAGATGTCTGTCCCTTTGTTACTAGCTGGACCACCTTATTGACTTCTCTCCTCTGCCCAGGAGGTTTGTGCTCATCTCTGCTCTTCACTCCTTGAAATTAGCTTGTTTGGTTTCACTTGGTGTCAGTTTTGTTTCTGGTTCTCAGGCAGTAGATTCAGAGCAAAGACTGTTTGAACTGAAACATTTTTTTTAAAGGTTCATCCTCAATTTTGTTATGATTTTGCCTTGTTAACTGCCCTACCCCCTAGTATGGGGCAGGCCTACATCCCGGGCTTTCATTCCAGTGCCCCCAACACATCTGATAGGTGCAGATTACCATTTCCTGGGACACCCTCTTTCACTGTTCATTCTGCGCTGTCTGCAGGCTATTTAACCTTGCCTTGGTGGAAGGGGATGCTGTGCCATTGATGCCAGTGGAGGCAGCAGTGTAGCAATGTGGCTGGGTGTCCTCACTACAGGGACAGAGGTGGCTTCTGGTTGCCAATGCAGTTGTGAACATGCAGTTGCTGGCAGGAACTATTTCTATGCTCCCCCACACAAGCTGGCACCTGAGGTGGTTGCCCCAGTCACTACATCCTAATTACACCACTCAGTGGAGTTGTCGTCCTTATGCCTGTTGGATTTAGTTTGCTGCACAGATTCAGGGTCTAGTGTAGCTCCTATTAATGTCAAGGGAATGGCTCCTCAGGAGGTTAGTTGGGGATGGTGAAAAGGGTCCTCATGTCATGGAAAGTCAGAAGTAACTACCCTGAAGCCATGGAGTTCAAATGAAGTAAGGACAGTGCTGAGTGGAAGGCATCAGGCCCTCATGTCCTTCCCAAGACACTCCATTTTAAAGCATGTACTCCTGTCTTAAGTGAGGGATCACTTGAGATCTTTCGGTCTCCAGTGAGAGAGGTGTCTTGTCTAGGTGGATGCATCATGGGGTGTGGAAGGTCTCTCAGTTTCTCTCAGGCAGGGGGAACTGTAGAACTGGGGCAGGTTAGAAGGGTTTTCATGCTCACCTCCTTTATCACTGCTTCCCAGCCCCTTGCCCATTAGCTTTGACCAGGCCCACTCTCATAAAGGTGATTCCCTGGGTTCAGGCTCTGCCTTCCTCAAGGTCTCAGCATGGAGAATCTCCTTCCAGGGAAAGGCCAGGTTTCCTATCGATGCTGCTGCTGGCTGGAGCAGAAGGGCATCTGCAGGTTGAGAAATGGGGCCCATTCCTCACACCTGGCATTCAACCAGCCACCCCCCCACACACTCTGCTCTCAACTTTCAAACTCAACTTCTCCCTGTGACACCCCCCCCAGCCCACCAGTTCAGCCACAAGCAGCCTTGTCTCTGCCCCCAGCATTATCTGCTGCTAACAGCTTGACATGCACTCAAGCCTCTTACCCCACTGCGGCTTGCAGGGCCGCTGAGCAGAACACATGCTTCTGCGAGACTCAGCAGTAAAGAACTAGGTTCAGTTACCAACCCCAGATCTCCCCTGTTGTAGCATGTACATGGAGGCTACTGGGCACTCCTGGTTTGGCCACAGGAGCAGCTTGCTGCCTTGTAGGCCAGCCCCAGCTCTCCCATAGCAGTTGGGTTGGAGTGGGCAGAAAAGCCTCCCTTCCCATCCCATGCCCCACTTCAGGAGCTGGGTGGGCATATGCATTAGAGCAGCCTGCAACTGAACAGAGCCCCAAGCCACTCAGAGGCTGCATGCGTGACAGCCCTTGTGGAGCCCCAAATTGAACTTTTGCACAGGCCTCCCTGCCTCTGCCACTGGCCACTTAGCAGCCCTATATCTCCTTTCCTTGATAGCTCCTGGGGTTGGCCATGAGTTGCCCTTCACTCCAATGTGTTTGCAGCATGCAGTTGAGGGGTGGGGGGCAGGGTCTATCAGCATGGGGGTGGCTTGTGCAGCCCCAGAAAGGAGGAGCTCTTCGTATCTCAGGCTAATGCCACAAAGACAGGCTCAGCTTCTGTGCATATGTGCAGGGAAACAGCTCCTACCCAGCTTGACTCTGCAGCCCCAGCTGCCTGCGTACGCCAGCACACTGCTCTCCTGCGGTTATCCCCTTAATAGGCTCAGCTGTCCGGTTGAATTAAGATACCCCTTCCCAGCCAGATAAGTGCGATTCTTACCATGGCATGGACAAGCCCCCTCCTACGGGGATGAGGCAAGGAACTACTGAGATTGGACAAATGCAGCAGTTGATTAATCCCTGCAAGATCCAGCGGCTTCCCCAACATGCTGACTCTTACCCAAGCTGTGTCCTAGGGGCACAAAGTAGCTCTCCAGGGACAGCACTCAGGGTTATCGCGCCCTGTCTCCTGGCCTTGGGTATCCCTTTGCTCTGGCTGAGATCCCCCTGAGGCCACTCAATGTTGGCTAATGCAGGGAGGTGTATTCAGGGGAACCGTCCAGCATGCAGGACTTACTGGGGTTGGGTCCCCTTCTTTCAGCAAGCTGTCTTGCCCCCTCCAGGGATGGCTCAGGCAACAGCATCCATTCCCATCATCATAGAAAAACATGGCTGGAAGGGACATCAGGGGGATTATCTGGTCCAGGTTGTGGCTCAGGGAAGGTTCACCACCATCTAAACCAGCTCAGACAAATGCTCAACAGGGGCCTGAACTTGGAGTCCAGTATACTATCTTCTAGCTATCCCCATATCCTGCCCTAGAGAGGGATGGAATGATGTGGGAGCAGAGGCCATGGCCAGGGCTGGGATGTGTGTCTGTGAAGGAGGGAGAGGCTAGTGGCTGTGGGATTTCTATTAGGTGGGAGGTGAGGGGAGCTTGCCAGGGCAACAAAGTGGAGATGCTTTCTTTCTCCACAGTATTAGAATTCAGCCCAAAGCATCTCATGCTCTACCCTCTGTAGCCATCACACTAGTATTTCCCCTGTCCTTGATGGGGTAGGACCCCAATACCTTAAAGCCCCCCAGGCTTGGTACCATTATCTTAACTGGCCCAGCCCCCACTCTTTTTTGCAGGCTGGTATCTGATCTCAATCTTGCCTGCGCTAGTGCTGGTGATTCCTCTGACAGCTC